GTTGACAGTCAATTGACAGCTGTCAACTGTCAATTTTGCCAATCTGGCATGAGAATTGAATTCAGCTCCCTCAAAAGCCCAAACTCTCAATGTGAAAAGAGAATATTTACTTTTCTATTCTTCGTTGACAGTGTATTGACAGCTGTCAACGGTCAATTTGTCCAATCTGACATGAGGGTTGAATCCAGTGACCTCAAAAACATTACCCTATATATTAGAATAATTAAAATATGCTTTTGACATCTGTAAATAGTATTGAAAATGAATAGTTTTGCAACGGGTCAGGGGAGCTTTGGCAGCTCCGTAGCTGCCAAAATGTTCATTTTGGCACTTTGTGCCCATGGAGACTTTTGTTCAGGATGACAAAATCTACAACATATCAAAAATTCAGACAATTTGACAGAAACCCAATTTCCATAAGATTATTGCGGGGTCCTTTGACTATTTCTCGGCGAGGGATATACTCACCTTAATGTTAATTCGCTTTCCTTACCACCTTTTTCCAGTAGTTTCGTTTTTAATTTATAAACTTTGTAAATCTAGAGCCCTGCCCCTCAATGCCCCTCAACCTACTACAGTGACGTCACTCAAACAGCAGTGAGGCTTTGTTCCCGCCGTTATTTAACCGGATTTTTGTTTTCAGATCGAACCACCACTATTTCCACCTCCGAAAGCAGTCTTCGACCCCACCACCAGAGGTCCTTGACGTCTGAAGAAACTGTATGTGTCGGCATCGCACCAGCGTGAATAAAATTACCATTTATCATCTAGAAAACATACAGTCGGCCAGAATGGGAAAATGTGACTGGAAAAAGTGGAGAAGGAGATAAAGGAAACTTAGGCAGGTGTAAGAAGTTCTCGGGCCATCGAAACTTCGGATCAGACTACAAGGGGAGATTTATTAAAACGTATTAGAGTTTTAGTTCTCGAGTTGCCAGACGCCCTCGAGTTGAGAATCGGTAAGTATCTTTGCCGCGGAACTCAAAAGGTACGGTATACGGTCTATTACTTAACAATCGAGTGAGATATGACTCGTATAAGGCCGCGAATTTCGACGCAAGCTAATGCCACATCGACACACGTGGCATTGACGTTGAATTTATCCCGTACTGATTACAGTTTGGTGCATTAGAAAAGTATTTGAAGAAATAAATTCTCCAACGACAGAGACGACTCTATCCGACAGTAAATCGTACATTCCAGGTCCGTACTTTGTTTTCATGTGAAAAATATTCTGTATTTGAGTAAATGAAATAATTAGTTTAATTTCCAAGAATTAGTAAATCTATATTTACAATAATAATAATTTTGTTCAAATGATACTAAATAAAGTGCAGCATTGGCTTAAAAAGTATACAGGGTGTTTCAGAAAACATGAGCCAACGTTCGGCAGCAGATTCCTAAGCTAAAAACAAAATTATTTTTTCATATCAAATGGGTCCCATTTCGCTTTGTTCCTTAGTTACAGGGTGTCAAAGTTTAAAAATGTGTTTTTCCAGAAATCTAAATTTCCAATGATACGCAAAAAACAGTCCGACACGGTCGAATCCAGATACCAACTGAATTGCGTATTGGTGGTTGCTGGACACCTTAGTACCTCGTGTTAATAAGCCGCCGCGCCATTGTCACATTGCTCGATATGAATTTTATCGAATTTTTAATTTATTACAACGCTAATAATTTTTTAGAATTAAGCATAAAGAAGTTCAAAAAAGTGATAAACATTGTATTTCATGATATTCTATGCACGCAGTTATGTCAATATTCCTTAATTAATCCAACTTTTGTAAATCAAGTTGGAGATTTTGATAATTGTTTTCTTGGAAGTTGAGTTTAGGTCCCAAGTCATAAAAGGTTTTTTTATTTATTTCAATGTATTCCATCGTCTGTTAAAATTAAGGCAGTCAAACTGTATATGACAATAAACAAGTCTTTATAGATTCTAAGTCATTAATGTATAAGCTCAATAAAAGAGGGCCTAGCACGGACCCATGTGGAATACCTATACCTGCATATTTTAAATCAGATTCGGTTAAACTAACATACTGTTTGCGATGGTTCGGGAATGTATTAAGTTTTGACAAGAGTTTGCCGTTAATCGACGAATTTTAATAAACCATTCCAAATACTCAATTATTTAGAAAAGTCAAGTAAAAAAGCCAAAGGTATGTTCTGAGGATCTTTTTTTATGTACTGGAACAAACATACAGTTAAATAGACAAATTAACCAAGTATGTGAAATAGTTGTATATTAAAGGTAATACAACTACTCTGCGGACTAAAGCCCCGTCCAGCATTTAATTACACCCAACATATCTACTACAGTGTTCCATGCTGTGTTTGATGCACCATAAGACTGTGGTCTTCTCCAATGATGTGAGATGCACGTACAAAGCTATTAGAACTTATCATAGAAAAAGTGAAATTTAGAAGAACAGAGTAAGATCTGGACTTCTCAGAACCCAGCCTCGGAATATTCTTCCGTTAGCTTTTGGGGACACGCCACACACGCGCGCCCCCTGCCGTACACAACGGTAAACATTCCCCAATCCCCAGACATTCCGTTATAATAATGATTAATTGCGGTGACCGCAAGGTGGAGCTAATGGAAGAACCAAGGATAATTTCATTAGAGAGGATAGGGGGATTATTTTGATGGCGGCTTTAGTCGAGGGTTTGGCCCGTACAAGTGGATGGTTGCGAATTTGAGGCACGATAATTTTGTTTAATTTGGCTCATTATAACTGGGGTTTCCGTAGGAAAAGGCACAGACGGAGCTGCGAGGGCCACTCGAAACTGCTGGATTATGTTGTAATAATCTCGTCGATGAGGGAGCAGAAGAGGGGTTTGGAAAATAATTTGATCGGTTTCAGTTTTCGGAAGCCCCTACGCATAACCGAAGATGAATATTCAAATAAATATACAGGGTGTTAATGAACTTATGTCAAATGTTTTTGCCATAAGTCCGTTATGTTAAAATCTGACTTACCTCAACATTGCAAGGAGTCACCTTTTGGGAACTTCTGATTTTCATAGATGTTCGATGTACCCATCATTTTAGTGGAGTCAAGATAGCTTAAAATTACGCATTATTTCGAAATAATTATGGGAAGCATGGATTTTCCTAAAACCTTTTGAAATTACTTGGAGATAAGTATTAGAGAAAGTTATAAACTTATTTTTGTACGCTAATTGTTTTTTAATTGTTTAAACAATAATAAATAGTTTTTTAAGAACATTTAAAATAATTCGATGAATTATAAATCGAATTCTTTCAAATTGACAAAATAGAGGTTTTCGATGTCGCTGAACAAGAATATGAAGTCGGAAAATGAAAATTCAAAATGGCTGATCCAATATGGCCATTTTAAACAATACAATAAAAAAACTGATTTTAAATACAAAATTACAAAATCAAAATCTACGTCCCCTATTATTTATTTATTCAATAATTATTTTAAAAATGCATCAATATTCATATATAAATATTAAACTCATACATTTACAGGTTTAACATAAATAATAATAATAATAATAATAATAATAATGCTTTATTGCCCAACAGTCAAGACCAATAATAGGACAATTACATATAGAACAATAGGTAAAGTAATAATGACTAATAAATAGGAAAAAAAAACAAAGGGAACAACTTATATAACTAACTAACAGAAATCTTCATCTACAGTACCTGAAAGGATTAATAAAATAGACTTTAAGGTGGTATGATTTAAATCACAGAGATGTGACACCATATTAAATAAGTTGCACATATTATATATAGGTGACTTAAATAAAAGATTAGTTCTTCTTCGCAAACAATAAAAAGTATCAGTATTTCTAGAATTATGCCTAGGAACATGAAAATCAATTTTACTCAGCAGCTCAGGACAATCAATTTGACCATTTAATAACTTATAGAGGAAAGTGACTGAGTTTAATTTTCTCCTCAAATCTAAACTTTGAAATCCAAATCTATCAGTCAGTTGCCTATATGGTGTACCTCTTTCAGGATAAGCATTATCTATCTTAAAACATAAATATTTGAGAAATTTTCTTTGCGGTTTTTCAAGTAACTCTCTATGGCATAAATAGAATGGATTCCAAACAGTAGAGCAGTATTCTAGTTTATTTCTAACGTACGAAAAATACAAAATAATGAGCGACGCGACATTAGTAAACGATTTACAGTTGCGAAGTATAAAACCGTAAGCCTTCATTGCATCATCGACCTTGGACACGATATGACATGAAAAAGATAATTCCTGATCGAAGATCACTCCCAAGTCTTTAATTTTAGTCAAACGATTAATTTTGATGTGATTAATTAAGTAACTATAACAATAAGGTGATTTCTTCTTTGTAAAGCTAATAATATTGCATTTCTTAGCATTTAGATATAAATCGTTCAAATTACACCAGGCTTCAATTTTTGCTATTTCTCCTTGAAGAACGACACAGTCATTTAAGGAGGTAATGTTAGAAAAAATTTTTAAATCATCAGCATACATTAGTTTCCGACAGTTCAGACTAGTTGTAAGGTCATTAACAAATAACAAAAATAACAGTGGACCCAAATTTGAACCTTGAGGTACTCCCGACTTCGCCAAATACTTGACAGAACCGTAACCATTATAAAAAACATATTGTTGTCTTTCGGATAAATATGATTGTAACAGTAAGACTGAATCAGAATTGAAACCAAAGCTATAAAGTTTTTGCAAAAGAATATTATGATTAATTCTGTCAAATGCCTTTGCAAANATTTATTTGTCCTTTATGACATTTTACAATGTATAGGATAAGTCATAAAAATAGTGTATAAACGACGATTTACACAGGAGTACAGAATGACAAACATACAACACAAACGATCACTTATAATTAAATACATAATCTTTGACGGGTCTATTACAAAGTCTAAAAATATGCGTGTAAACTATATAAACATTTTGTCTAGATAAGGTATTTTTCAAGGACTTGTTAAATAACCTTTATTTTTCTTGGAGACTTTATAGTAAAGAATAAGAATAGTCAATAAAGGAGTTATTAGGTACTCGTAACTAAAACTTACTGTTAAGGAAATGTGATACATCATATATACATTCCTGTACAAGAAAGTATTTGAGTTTTCTTTTAAAAATATTAATGTTATTTTCATGCCTTATGCAGATGGGCAGATGATTAAGGAATTGGATGCCTTTAAATATTGGGCTTTTCTCGAACAACGAGGTACAATGTTTAAGAGGTCGTATAGAATCGGCAGTTCTTGTACGGTAGTTATGGTACTCACGGTTACGCATGAAACTATTATAATTACTTTTTGCGTATAGTATACATTTGTAGATGTATATAGAATAAAAAGTAAGTATATTAAATTGTTTAAAATAATCTTTGCATGTTTGTCTGACATTAAGGTTAAATATTAGACGAACTATCCTCTTTTGAGAAATAAAAATTCTGGAAGCATCCCCCGCACTTCCCCATAAGATAACATTATAAGAAATATGAGAATAAACAATAGCATAATAAACACTAATTAGTTGATCAATGGTAAATATATTTTTCAGCTGAAGTATTGCATAGAAACTACTATTTAACTTCTTACATATATGATTTATGTGAGTAGTCCACCTCATATTACTATCCAAGTAGACTCCTAGGAATTTGGCGGTATTTGAAAACTGAATATTTATATTTTTAACTAAGACTGATATATTGCCTGTAATTTCCGTTCTGTTGAAAAAATGCATACAAACAGTTTTGTTTGCATTAACCATTAAAGCGTTTCTTTCGCACCAAGTTGAAAACTCCTTGGACAGGAGGTTCATATTTTTTATTAGCTCTTCTGGAGACTGTGCATCTGTTGCTAAAGTTGTGTCATCTGCATATAGAATAAGATGTTTTGTACTCACATAATGTGGAAGATCATTTATATATAATAAGAAAATTAGAGGTG